AACTGGTTACTTCGCCTACCCGGATTCCAGATATGGAGGATCATACAACTTCCCTGTTGGATCTGCTGACCTCTCATCCGGACGGATATCAGGTTTCTGTCGATGCCCCTTTCGGCTCTTCGGACCATTGTCTGATCCGGTGTATGGTGCCACTCACGCTCCCCTCGCGGTCGCGATATGCAGGTTGCCGCCGTGTTTGGCATTACAGGTCGGCGGATTGGGACGGAACATTCTTTGCATCCTACCTATGGGGCGAGTTTGCTACTCGCCGGATGATCCCAGCGCTGTTGCTGACTCTGTCACTGATGTGTTGCTACAGGGAATGGAACTATTTATTCCATTATCTGTGTTACCCATCGGAGGCAGATCTCAGCCTTGGTTTGGTTGCTCCTGTAAGACTGCATTACGCAGTAAGCAAGAGAGTTATCAAGCCTGGGTTGCGGCTTCGGCGAATCGGGATGTAAACAGCAGCATGCTTAAAAAGAAGTATAATTTCGCCTCCAGGTCCTTCAAAAAAGTTATTACCAAGGCAAAGTCAGAGCACATAGGCAGAATTCTCGAGAAATTAGGTCGCTTTCCTTCGGGAACCCGTGCATTCTGGTCTCTCGCCAAGGATGTCCAAGGGAATTTCTGTAAGCCATCACTACCATCTCTGCACAGGGAGGAAGACTCACTGGCCCACGCCGCAAAAGAGAAAGCCGACCTTTTAGGATCCCTTTTTGCGTCTAACTCGACTCTTGATGACGGAGGGAACACACCGCCGACCATCCCGCGGTGTGAGTGCTCCATGCCGGATGTGCGGTTCTCACAGCGCTTGGTTCGCAAAGCAAAACTGGTAACATTCATTGCTATGCGGATGACAACACTGGTGATGCTCTATACACCGGCCGTGCCAATATTTCTCGGGAAAACATTGCCGAGTACCGGAACAAACTTGTGTCTGAAGTCGAGTCTTTGCTGAACAAAGTCTCAGATTGGGGGCAACTAAATCTAGTCCAGTTTAATCCTCAGAAGACACACGTTTGCACGCTTACCGCTAAAAGAACCCCTTTTTCGTATCTCCTCAGTTCCAAGGCACTCCCCTTGTTGCCTCAGCCAGTATCGGAATCCTCGGCATCGACATATCGAGTGACGTGCAGTTTCGTGGTCACTTGGAAGAGAAGGCTAAATTGGCCTCTTAAAAGCTTGGCGTACTCAGCAGAGCGGGACAGTATTTCATGCCGGCCCACCCCCTGCAACTTTATAAGGCGCAGGTTCGGCCTCACATAGAATACTGTTCCCACCTCTGAGCAAAGGCTCCCCACTGCCAGCTCCTTCCACTTGACCGCATCCGCTTGACTGCGGCGTAGAGCGGCTCGAATTGTTGACGACCGAGTCCTTTCCGATCAGCTCGATTCATTGGCACTGCGAAGAGATGTTGCATCCCTTTGCATTTTCTTTCGCATTTACCGCGGTGAGTGCTCTGAGGAATTGTTCGGATTAATCTCAGCCGCCAAATTTCACAAAGGCACATCGCGGCAGAACTCCCGATACCATGCACACCATCTGGATAATTGGCGGTCCACCACTGTGCGATTTAGTAGATGTTTTCTTCCTCGTACAACTTCCTTGTGGAATCGATTACCATCAGCGATTTTTCCGGACCGATACGACTTAGGGACCTTCAAGAAAAGAGCCTACTCCTTCTTAAAAGGCCGGCAACGTATCTGCAATTCCCTTGGTTCCCCTGGTGTTGCAGGTGTATTACCATCAGGTGAGTCGCATGCTCGTTTGCCCCCTCTCCTATAAAAAAAAACCAGCAGCATTTTATATTTCAAAGTAACATTTTACAATGGAACATGTTGCACAATTAGTTACAAAATAATTTTCGAAAAAGCTTAACAGCGAATGGCCCGATTGCCTCAGAATAGCGGACTTAGGAATTCTAATAGGTCGCCGCCACTAGAACGGCTACGACTTTATGTAAAAGTATTCCGGTGGGCTTGAAACCATGAGGTTTTAAACTAAAAGTTAGGGAGGTTCGCATTGTATATGAAATAGTATTCATAAGTCCCTAACTATTCCTTTTTTAAATATGCCACATGAATATTTGCAATGAAATCTACCACTACGTACGTAAATTTGGCTAGTAAATATGGATTGGTAATATAATCACTTCATTTCAAAAACATCTTAGTTAATCGCTCGAATAATAATTCTAGGCCTATTTAATTGAAGTGAAAACTTCTTTAGAATCACTGTGGTTTGAAACTCGATGAAACGAAAAAGCGTCACTAAAATGAGGCAAACATAATATACATCTCGAAGTACATATATTTCATGATACATCTATAGGATTTAGCCTGCGAAAGAATGAGATAGAATACAGTATACAGTGTTCCCTATTATCTCGGTCTCCACTTTGTGCGTTGCCTTATAGATGATTGATGTAACATTTAACTGTTAAAACAAACAGTTAAAAAAATTAACAAATTTATTTAATAAATAAAATTAACCATCTTTAATATACAAAAAAAAATAGAAACAGAAACAGAAACTTTTTTATTTAATATAGATTATGAATAATACTTATTGAAAGTCACTCTTCTTCGTCAAAAAAAACCTATATCCTGGGAAGAATCAGCAAGAAACCCAGCGGGACTTTTTTTTTAATAAGGGCTTACAATAATGTAAACACAATTAACCATGCAAAACAAATTAGAAATAGCTTGGTAGCGATCGCCTCCTTCCCAGGGGTTATTATCAACCTTAAATTCCTTAATATTATAATAACCCTTTTTATACAAACTTTGTTTAATAAGGATTTTGAACTATGACCAGGTTAAATTTTGCACATTTTCTGGGATTCTATTGTAAAAGCGTATACATAGCCCCAAGAATGAATTACTGACACGATGGAGTCGAGTAACTGGTACTACTAGCTTGTGTCTGTTCCTAGTATTTACTGAACGAATATCACTTATTGTTAATGTTTGTTTGTTCGTATTTTACACGATGCCGTACCGTTATTCAATACAAATTTATTTTTACCCATATATCATTCAACTGCAATGAAAGTATTATCATTTCGTAATTAAACTAAATATATAAATTTTCTAAATTTAGAATAATGTTTTCACAATGAATTCGTCTACGGCAGCGACGCGCCGGGTACCACCTAGTATTGAATGAAATTGTCTAATCCAATTCATTTATAACAATCCCCGAATTCATAACTTACCGATTTATATTAAATTAGGCGTCTTTAGGTCCATCTAGCATCTATTTTACGTAACATATTGAGAGCCAATTAATTTTTTTTTTTCGATAAAGTGACTTTACCTGTAGAATGAAATAGATTTCACGCTAGCACAAAGCAATTTTGCTCGTAATATTCTGAAGGTTTCCCTTTTACCGTACTTTAACATTTATTTTTTATTTTTAGTCATATCATAGTAATTAAAATAAATAAATAAATAAGAACAAGTATATCGATGTCGATTGTAGTTACTCGTAACATTGGGAATGAAAACATTATAGATTAAAGTCGTCAAGTCTTATAAAATAACAATACACACCAATATTACACATAATACTACTACATTACGAGGGTGACACTGAAATTCTCAGAAAATCAAAAACTGAAAAAAAACTAGCAAGTTATTGGTTTTATTATATCGTTTCAAAATAGTGTCCATTTACTTCAATACAACGCTGCATCCGATGGAACCACTGAGAAAAGCACTTTGCCCACTCGTACTTGGAGGTCTCTTCGACGGCATTTTGAAACGCTGTCACTGCTTCCTCGGCGTCCATAAAACGTTTTCCTCGAAATTTTTCTTTTATTTTCGGAAATAAATAAAAATCGCAAGGTGCGAAGTCAGGGCTATAGGGCGGGTGACCCAGTTATTCCACGTCTAAAGTCGCCAAGTAGTCGATTGTTTGCTTGGCGGTTTGCAACGAGGCGTTGTCGTGATGAAGGAGGATCCTACTGCGAGGTCGTTTCTCCCGAACTTTTTCCAAGACAAGTGGGAATCAATTGTTAATGTACCACTCTCCAGTAACTGTTTTTCGATCCTCTAAAACAATTGTTGCGTAGTGACCTCTCCTTCCGAAGAACGAGGCCACCATCTTTTTTCCCACGCCTCGACCTATCTTCACTTTATTTGGCAACTCCTCAGAAAGAAACATCTAGACAGCAGACTGTCTCTTAGTTCCAGGGTCATAACAATAAATCCAACTTACGTCACTCGTAAGTATGACGACCACAGCATTTGAGTCACCTCCGTTAAATCTTTGAACCTATCTCTATCAAATTATGAGGTATCCACCGGGCATAAAGCTTCCTGACCGCTAAATGTTCATGGAGGATTTTGTGCACTTGACTCATACCGATGCCTAAGCTTGTCCGAATCTGCTGATAAGTCACTCTTTTGTCAGTCTCTATCATACGCCGCACAACACTGATGTTTATGTTTTTGACAGAGGGGAACGCCTGCGTCCTTCATCCGCCGGTGGCCTGTGTTATTCTATGATATCGAGTAACAAAGTATCACAGAAAAATAATAGTAATATTCTTTATAGAGATATTAAAGTATAACTCTTTGCAACTTGACTGGTGGCGGATTGATGCTCCTGTATTTTTGATATGTAAAAGTGGTGCGATTTTGTGTATTAAATGTCTGCGCATATGAACTTTTAGTGTAAACTGTGAAACAAGTGTTCCGATGGTGATGTGAACATCAAGATAAGGTTTGTTGCTTGCTTGAGATACAATCGCCAACTGTTTGCTGACTCAAGTTGCCGTCAAAACTTCCCAAAGGCTACTTAATGCGGCGCATCAACATATTGTGAAGCAGTGTACCATAAAGGATTATTATCACTTGATACGGAAAATCTATAAAACGAAGATCCTGGATGAAATGAAAACATGGCCAAAAAAATAAGTATCCAAGTCAAAAGTAAGCATAACTCGTTGGATGATAACCATAACCTAATCATTTTATCTGTGCACTGTAGGTATTGATCGCTTAAATTTTTAACAACATGGCGAACTCGTAATAATAATAATTTTGACAAACTTGTTATGAATCCCAAGAAAATCTTTTTGTAGTCTTTCATAAGTAATTTCCGGAAATATTTACTCGTCAAATATCAACTGTATACAAATTAAAACACCTCATACATAATAAAGAAATTGTTTGAGGAAAATATTATTTGTTTGGCTTCTTGGACATGGCTTGAGGTAATCACCTGTCGGTTAATTTGTAACTGACTTGATTTTCAATAATATTTAATTAAATATATAATTTGTTACATTTACGAAGTATGAAAGTTTCAGTCTTTATATTTTTTTGCGTTAGGAGTCAAGTAGTAGCAGATCTAATCACGTATAATAGCTATATTATAAAAAAAGTGTAATTATTTATTATTTCTCTCTAGATATAATGCGGCGTCGTGGTATTGAATTGGAACCAGCTTCAATGTTGCCCAAAAAGAAAACGAAGGTAATGGATGACTGTCCCAGCTTAGATACGAGTTTCTTCGACGACGAGGCTTTACCTCCTGGTATTGTCTTCACTGATGTTCAGTTGAAGAAATGGCGTATTGGGAAACCTATAGGTAGTGTTTTACAGGCAAACTCATTTATTTTTCCACCTTAGTATTCCAGAAGGAAAAAATTCCAGATTTGCATTATATTTAAGTTACAATGAATTCTAGATATTAAATTAAACTTTAAATATATCAGATATATCATTGAGAGTGTAATCAGATGTCCATAATTGTCCTCTGCAGTGGGATATGTAAAGACATTAATTTTCTTCACTATTTGATATTGCCAGTTATAGTAAGATTTTACTTTAAATGAACATAAGAATTATGTTCCCTGATGCTACCTTTCTACTGTATTCCCAAAACTCCTAAAAAATATAACCCTAAATTGGGGGTGTTACGAAGAAAAAAAAAGTAGCACATTTTCTTTGGCCTTATTTATTAGAATAATACTTGTGGCTATACAAAATTATAAACATTTATTAATAAACAATCAACAATTGACTAAAAATCAACGATGAACTCTGAAATGTAGGTCAACATTAAAACATAGTCATACTTTTAATAAGATGGATGTACTTGATGAAACAGCAAAATTATCAATATTTGGCTTCAGTTTTGTAAGAAGTAAACTCAAATCTCCCTGTTCTGTGATGTTCAATCTGCTCCCTTTTTTTTTTGTTAACAGGTTGGTAACGGCACTAAAACTTCTTTCGACTAGATATGATGAGGGAAATGCTATCAAAAATTTTTCTTGCAAATTCCCACAGCCCAGGATATTTTTCGGGGATTTCTGCCTGCAGCCAAAATGTTTGATAGCCTTTTTTAAATTTCACCTTCAGTTCCTCATTGGTGCTGAGCTCAAGTAGCTCCTCTTGTAATACCACATTCGCCTCTTCTGCTTCATTAAATGGGGTTATGATCCATGGTGGTATTTCCATTGTCAGAATATCTTCAAATCTATTTTTGAAGTCATCATGCAGGGTATTTAAATGTTGAGCGTATGTCTGAATATCATCATCAAGACTATCTATGACAAGTGCGGAAACTGGGAGAATTCGCACTAACAAATATTTTGCTTCATTAATTTCAATTTACCAAGAAAAGCCGAAATTACACCCTTTGTTTTTATTAAATTAAGGCTGTCCCCTTGTAACTGCAAGTTAACGTCATTGAATTTTTTGAACAAATCTGTCTTAAGTACCCAATGTCTGCTTTATATTTGATCAGATTTTCTTTTAAATCTGGTGCTTTAGTTTCCAGAAACTCTATCGCTGATTTGAAAAATGAGTAAAATCTTGATAAACGTGCCCCTTTCGACCACCAGCGTACTTCAGTATGTAAGAGCATTTGTTGGAAATCTTCATCATTTTCATCGCACAATAGTGCAAATAAATGGGTATTCAAAGCATTGCTTCTTATTTTATTAACTGCGTTAATCACAAATTGAAGTGATTGGTGCAATCTATCACTCATATCTTTCTTGTTCTTTTCACGTCTATGTGGATCCCCGTGTGGTCTCCTATGGACCCCTGGGGTCCACCTGGACCACTTTTGGAACCTACAATTTAAAGTAAATAAAGAACTCAAGGCCAGATGTTTATGGTAATTTCATCCATTCAGCAGTTATGACATTAAACATTATTTAATTGCTAATTAACAATAATTGTTATAAAATTATTTACTAAAATACCAGTAACTAATCATCTTTTCAAGTGCACTTGCTGGACATAAGTCTTTTGAAGAAAATACTAGCAAGTATTTATTACTTAGAAGATTTCACCAGCTTGGTGAGCACAGAGTCAAAATGTTCACACTGGTAATGCTGCTTCAAAACACAAATCTGTGTTGGTGACAGTTTAGGTTACGATTTTTAATGGATTCTCTATCATCATCCTCAGTTCACACAATTCACATTATAAACAATTATGTAATCAAATCAAATTATGTAATCATAACCACAACAAGAAATTAGTTTAAAAATTGCAAATTTAACTAGATTAAATATGTCCTCCAGACCAAATTTTGGTCACGGTGGCCAGTTTCAACCGAGACTAGCCGTTTCTGCAGAATGGGATTATATTTTATGAGTATGTCCATAAAAGCACTGTCTATTCCTGCACTCTCAGAATCTCATAATGGGACATCAATCCGACACAACCAGAGAGAGGTCACAGACAGGATAAATATATTATTATTATTATTATTTGTGACTAAGGCTGCTACTGAGAATTTCTTTACAGAAAACCCCAATAATTGATTTGGCAGGATTGGTCCAGCCAAGTTCCACCAACTTGATCATATATTATATACGACATGATCAGCAGTTGTGCTTACCACCACAAGACCAAAGAGATATATATAATAAATCAAAGTACCTATAATTATAAATGTAATAACCATTGATATATATGTACTATGCACTAGATTTCGCATTCCGAACATTGACTATGTTCAACTGAACTGTACTGCAATCCGTACACTAAAATTAAATATTGCGTAAATTGAAGATTTGTGAATTCCATAAGATAATTATTATTAGATTTTATTTAGAAATATGTTTGTTTAGATATTATAATAATAAGAGTATTTTATATTAAATTCTTATATTTATTTTATATTAAATTAAAGTCTTCGAGCATCCGCGACTCTACTAACTCCCGCGCATGCGCGAAGACATAGATTAGCACACAATATATTTTGGAATAGCTTCTCTAGTACGTAGTATATATGTACTCAATGGTTAATAACAAATTTTCTAATATTACCTACCAATGAAAAAAAAATTAAGTGGTTCCTAGGTTAAAAATTGCAAATTTTACTTTAGTATACAAAACTTACATGGAAGAGCCATGCCGAATAAATCCAGATAAATAAATGCCTAATTTAATATACAGGAAGGGGAAGTTTTGGACGTATCTACCTAGCATCAGATGATATAGAAAAAGAAGTCACAAAACAAAATGCAAGATATGTAGTAAAAATTGAACCACACACAAATGGACCTCTGTTTGTTGAGATACATTGCCTTATTAGAACAGCACAGGTTTCAAAAGGTAAATAAGTTTTATTTATATATACATGTAAATTCTTATAATTTATTCTACTTATGTGAATAATCAACCGTGTAGTGGCGGGGTAAGAATATTCACTACCCATATAGTTCTGAGGATGTCGTAAGAGGTGACACAGGGAAAATGAAACAATGGGCAGCAGCATCTCTGATAATAACTCAAAATAATAAAAAATTGCAGTTACAACTTTTGCAATATCCCCCCCCCCCCCCCCCCTCTTCCCTCGTCCTCAGTCCATTAGACATGAAAAGTTAATAAAAAACATTGTTGATATTAGAGCCTATTTCACAAAAGCCAAGGAAAGTTTGAAGTAAGTTAACCATGAATGAAAGTGACATTAAATAAAAAATAGTATTACAAATGCCACATCTTCATTCATTGATGGGTTTAGAAATCGGGATGGAGATACAAAGAGGTCCACGGTAATCTAGGTAACGGCTGGAATCCAATCAGGTTTAGCTTTTTTTATACCCTCTCAGCACCTACACATTCCGAATTACTAACACATCTAGAAAAGCTAAAGAATTGTTTGCCTCTAACTCCATTGTGAACTGAATTTTAGAATTTATGGAGTTAAGATCGTCTAAAAATGCAGTTACTTTATCTAAAGGTAGAATTATTTTTTTTTACCCACTAATCTATAACTAGTACATATAAATAATAATATGTAGTATAAATATTAGTGCTTGACACTTTATTTGTTACAGTAAAGTAGGCTAAAGACACTTCTAATTGCTGGTTATTGTTAATTGGCAATTTGTTACTCCTAACTATATGTGACTATAGTGTAATAGGCCCTTAATATTTCCCCTAATCTTTCTTTATCATTTCAGTGAAAGCCTGGCGTCAACAAAATAGACTAAAACGAATTGGTATGCCACTTTATATTGCAAGTGGATCATTCACAGATGAAAACAGTGGTACTAAATATAGATTTCTAGTTTTACCCAGATATGATATTGATCTACAAAAAGTCATAGCCAGAACTAAAACCTTAGACTTGAAGAATGTTCTAGTTCTTGCCTTACAAATATTAGATGTGCTAGAATATTTACACAATCAAGGCTACACACACTCTGATATTAAAAGTTCCAATTTAATGCTTGGTTTTGATGCAACAAAATTAGAGAGAGCATCAGTGTCAAGACCAGCACAATCATTCCAAAAGGAAGCAAAACAAGTTGTCCTTGTACCTGGAAAGCATAGAAAAGCCAAAACAGGAAAGTCTAAAACATCAAATTATTATGACGATGAAGATTTTATTGTAAGAGAGAAAGTTTCCACTGGTGATGAGACCTGTGATGGTAATAAAAGACTGGCTAATGTGAAGAAAAAACTGAGAAGGATTCTGTCTGATAAAGATAACAGAACCCTACACAGGCATCATGCATTTAATTTGAGACAGTTGTCTAATTACGTAGACTATGAGGACTTAAGTTCTGTTTGTTCAGACAGATCATATCAAAAACTTTTAGATGATTTTGGTAGTAAAACTCTAATTTATGTGGCTGAAAAGTTAAAAGAAGATGAAGGTACTAAGCATGAGATAAAAAATTTAGAAAATGATTTCATTCAACTACACAGGGAAGCAATTTTGTCACAATCTAATGGTCAAATATTTTTATTAGATTATGGTTTGGCATCTAAATTTTTAGATTCAGATGGTAATCACAAAGATTTTGGTATGGATGCTAGGAAAGCTCATGATGGAACTCTGGAGTATAGTTCAAGAGATTCCCATATTGGGGCACATTCTAGAAGGTCTGACTTAGAGACCCTTGGTTACAATATGCTCGATTGGTTAACTGGAACTCTACCTTGGAAGACTACAGAAGTTCTTGCTGAACCAGATTTAGTACATGCTTTGAAGAAAAACTTCATGAGTGATATTAAATCATTACTGAAAACATGTTTTAAGACTGAATTTTACCCACAGTTTATGGAAAAATATCTACAATACATTACAACTTTAGATTTCACTGAGAAGCCAGATTATGATTATTGCAGGAATGTGTTCAGAGGAGAATTGATTAAAAATGGTTATGTTTTTGATAAAGAAATGAGCCTTAACTTTGCTGAACCTCCCATGTCACCGATGGGTCGTAATAAATTGTGTTACTCAAAAAGGTTTGGTAGAAAAAACACCCCTGCAGATTTTCTGGCGAGGAATGGTAAAAAAGAAACATATGAAAGGGAAAATGTTTTTTCCTTAGAAAGTGATCTTAAACTAGAACTGCTAAAACAGACATTAAATACATCAAGCGACGGTGTTCGCAAACCTTGTACTTCGCGCAACTTTTTCATATCAGATGCAGATTTAGTAGCACGATTGAAGAAATCCTTAATGCCTCATGATGTCCTTGGAAAAAAATTATCTCCCAAGAACTTACGATCTAAGAAAAAAATTACTAAACGTAAAGGAACAAAAAGACACAGGAATAGCCTTGGCAAGTTTGGTAACTTCATGGGCTCAGCTAGACAGTTTACATGGGCTGAAATATTAGCCGGCAACCCTGAAGACATTATAAGAAAAGAGAGGAATATTGTTAACAACAGTGAAAGAGATGAAGATGAAGATGATGATACAACTTGCAAGTATAGAATTAGAAAACTTTCTAATGCATCATATGAAAGCAATGATAGTAACATCCAGTCACCATTAATGCAAAAAGATTACTTGCAAAGTATGAACCCTACTTATGCTATGAAGGAAGTTGTAGCAAATTTTAAGAAAAAGATTTCTGGGAAACCATTAAAAGAACCTGAGGAATGCCCATCTGGCTTAGAAGGTTATACACCAGCAATGATAAGATTATATAAATTAAAAGAAAAACGTGAAGCAAAAGAAAAACTTGATGCATTGAAACAAAATTCTGAAAACAAAGAAATTGAACGGAGATCAAGATGTACCAGAGCAATGGCCAAAAAGATTGAGAAGAAAAAAAAGCCTGCACCTAGGACAACAAAAAAGAAAGTGTCTATTGTTGATTGTGATGAGGAGATTTTAGATACTGATTCTGAAACAGATCTTCCGAAAAGCAATGATAAAATAAAACCTCGTAAAACAAGAAGTATTGCAAGTAAGAAAGAAGCAAAAGTTGAGAGTAAGCAGTCGCCGGCTAAAACTAGTAAGTGTTCAGGATTAATTTTTTTTGCACTTTATTTCATCAAAAGTAAAACATGTTAAATATTTTTCCCGATTTAACTAGTTCATTTAGCCTTGGCAGCACGGGACTAAGCACTAATTGCCGACATTGGAAGATAATGATCTATTTTCCGCAAAACAAATGCAATTTATAACTTAATTGTAAAGGCTTAGCTCTCCAGCCTATCAAGACTATTGCCTGCCAGGCATGGCAACTATGGCATATATCCATTCTATGATAGAGGCGTAGGACTATTTTGATAGGCTATTGTGAATAATGAATTAATGTATATTAGCAGTGGTAGAGCCACGCGGCAGCTTTTGCTGTCGCACGGATGGGCAGGCTCGAACCGGGGTAGTACCACGACCTCACAGATAACCAGTGTGAAGTAGAGGTTTACCTCTGCGTTTCGCTTGGTTAGTGCAGGTGGCCGGAGGCCCTTTTTACTGGAAATGAGGCATTCCATCTTAGTCCTCACGGGTGACAACGCATCTACATTTTGATTTGTAACAGAGGATAGATGTAGATGTCTATGGGCCGCAGCAACCACTTACCATCAGGTGGACTGTGTGCTCGTTTGTCACCCCTATCCTATAAAAAAAAAATGTTCTAATTTAGATAAGATTACTTTACCTGTAGTTGGCAGTCTAAAAATATTTACTATCACCCATATCCCATGGGTGTTGTAAGAGGTAACAGAGGGAAACTAAGTCAGGTGCTGGGCAGCAGCATCCTCTTCAAAGCAACAACTTATTAATAAAAAATGGAAATTGCCTACCAACCTGTCAAGCTGCTAATCGTGACAACTGTGGCAAAATCTCCCCATGTCTAATGATAAAAAAATATCCAATATTGTTAGATTGTGGTCTTATAATATGACAATCTTGGATATTTTTTGAATCGAAACTTATGTAGTAAAAATATAATTTAAAATTAATCGAAAGTATGTAGCAAAAATATAATTTAAAATTAAAAATTTTGTTCAACCAACTTCTATATAAATTATTAAGAATAACTCAAAAACTATTGGTCAGACCTTGATCAAATATGTATGGGACCACATGTGAAGCACCAGCTTTCAAATAAAAAAAGAATCATCGAAATCGTTCCACCCAGTAAAAAGTTATAAGGTAACATACATAAAAAAAACATACAGTCCAATTGAGTACTGTCTCCTTGTTGAAGTCGATAGAAAATGAGTTGAAGGAAGGTCATACCAATTCAAACAGTCAACTGCAATATTCCGAAAATAGGTTCTTGAAGATTAAATTTTTTTGCTTTACTAAGAGAGAAGTTTAAGAAAGTTTGCGGAACGTTAGGGTTGAAGGGCGAAGGTTGAAGGTCATCTTTTGGGATACAAAAGGTATTCATATTCCATATTGATTGATAATAAGTTAACACTAAAAGTTTTTAGGTTAAACAAGCAAACACTATTGTCCAGACCTGGCCACCAGTCACACATATAATATGTTGCATTTTAACTTCCTTCATTGTCATTCTGCAAACTTTTTAAACTCCTCTCGTATGTCTGGACGTACATCTGGATGTAGTGTTATAATCTGTACATTTAAGTACAACAAAATGTAAGTTAAATTAGAAGTCCATTTTTTTTTAATTAGAAACAATTATATTACAGAAACAAGAAACACAACTTTAGTATTAAACAGAAGGAGGTTAAGAAGCAGCAAACGTAAAAAGCAATAGAATGAAACTTACAAAATGTGATTAATTAGAATTAGTTTAAGTATGTGAACCAATTATTTTCTTCAAATTGATGATTTTTTATTTTTCTAGCATAAGTTTAATCAATCATAAAATTGTATGTGAAATGTCTAAGGATATCTGTGAAATATTGTAAGTATATGCAGTTTCCAAATGTTTGCATTACAATGGGTGGACTTATATTTAAAATTATAACATATTGAAATAAAAAATATAATATTCTAAAAATGTAGGTTCTTCTTGGTAACAATTTTCTGATATAACTAAAAAGTTATGGACACATTAAATACTTTGAATGAGTAGGTTCTCAAAATCACTTTTTAAATCATATTGTAACCAAACTTATCATTAAGAGATTGTTAAGCCCATTCAATGAGTTTTTAATTTACTATAAAAGTATTCCAATATCATAGTTTTTGACCAAACTATGACATTGAAATACCTTCAAAAGTAAATTAAAAACCGTAGTGTATGTATTATCAAAGATTTAATTACACCACGCCTAAACTTGGCTAAACATTATATATTATATCACAAATATAAAAGAGAAGAAAATTATACCAAAATGAATTTCTGTTTTTTGCTTTCCGTATTTTGTTATATTACAAAGTAATAATAATAATAAATATCACACTCATTAATGGTTACTTACTAAACATATATGCTTTATATATCACTTGTCACCCATTAGTGCTTTTGGAAATTATTGCTATTATGATCATATTGTTAATTATAACAAACTCATGAACAATGAATGTAGTGTATGCTTGAATGCCTTTACTTTGAAATAGACTGAAAACAAGGAAAATATAGTGATAAAGCCTAATATTTTTATCTATAACTATCTCTTATTTTCATGTTAATTTTCTTGAGGAAATTCAAAATTTCTTCTCAATTTAACCTTTTTTTATTAATTAATATTTGAGGTACATATTTGCAAAGTTTATTGTAACAAACAAATAAATAGTTAGCAATCAATAAGTTTAAGATTTTGGCCGATTTCATATTGAACATGGGTCAAAGTTATCTGCAATTCAATGCCTTGCATTTAGTGAAATAATTTTATAAATCGATAGTTTATATCTTATTATATAACTGTCGGTTAACTTTTTCCTACTTTACTGTAATTTTGATTGAAAAATAAAGCAATTGTTTTAAACTTTGGTTTTTAGTTGTTTTTTACAAATTACTTACCTTAATAAGCTTTCCGAATGAATTTAACCGGTTTAGTGCGGATGGCACGCCAGAAGTGCCGTCGATTATTTTTGTATGTGGCGTATGACACGCGAGTCGTGTCTTTTTAAATATCGTTATAACTCACTCAAATTGTGTTTTTGGAAGATTTATCCACAACAAAATATTCATTATTTTGCAAGTAGTTCATTTTTAGGCGTTGACAACCTTTTTTTAACTTGTACATGGTACTCTTTTTACTTTGTGGGTTGTAAATCATGTTGTGGAAAAATAGTCTAATAAGTAACAAATAATAGCACTCATTGCGATCGCTCACAAACTCAAGTTGTAAATAAATTTCTGGAAAACAAGTCTAAAATGGTTGAACTGTCGTCTTATTACTATCATATGGCCGAATAAACCTACGAAGTACCATGTGCTCTTGTGATATGGTATAAGGCTTATTTTTCCTTGAAACAGTTCGAAACCGTTCATACATAAAAAAAGTTCCCTAATAAATAGGCTTTTGTCAATCCGTCGCCGTATAGCGCCGGCGTTTTTTTCCTTTTGAAAACACTTGTTTTGCTATTCACGCCAGCACACAGCTAAAAGTTGTCGAAAATCGGTGCCGCAACGAATCGGTTAACTGAGTATGTAGAAATATAGAACTGATTAATCTAGTGCCTACAGTCACAGTGGTGACACTCTCTGTACGTGAGAGTTCAAGCGCCGGTGACATTGAGCCAGAACGTGTAACGCTAGGGTTGATATCGAACTGAAATGGAATATTATAGACTTGTGCCCAAGAAGATACATAGTAGGTATATGTTATATAATGTAAACTTTGTATTTAGGTAGCGAAAGATACAACCAATTTTAAATCAACTTTTATTAACCTTCCAACGGTCGCGCGTGGTCTCTAAGTCCGCAACGAATTTGTATTAGTCAATTTACTAAAACTATAAGCAATAGACGCTTGCGTTACCGTGATATCCTCGGGAAGATGAGGTAGCACCCCTTAGTAGCCCTGTGACATTCGTCGCATGCATACGTGCTTTCTTATTTGTGTTTGCGGTCTCAGATTCCGCGCGCGACCGATTGTGTTCCAGAATAATCCAGTGCAATTAAAGTGAAACCAGGGTAAATATTTCATGTTTTTTTGTATCTTATTTATTATCTTATTACTTTTTGTGTTTTATATTATAATATTATAAAAGTATAGTTTTAAAAAATGTATTTTAGTTGTAGACAATGAATTACGAAGACTTAAAACGTCGAATATCTCGCATGCTAGAGGAGGTGGAATCAGAAGATGAGGTCTTTGATGACGTTTCGGACCAAGAAGACAACCCAGTAGAAATTTTGCCAGCACAGGATGAGTGTATTCATTCGGATGCTGAGCTTAGTGACATCGATGACGATAACGTTCCTTTGTCATTATATCGTCAATTTTTAGACCAGCAAGGAAGTACGTATACTGGAAAAGACGGGACTGTTTGGAGTGCAAATCCCCCAGTTTCAATGAGAACTAGATCTGTCAATATAATTAGAGAACAATTCCCTAAAGTTTTGCCACCTCTTCTTGCTTCAAGATCACCTACGGAATGTTATTCCTACTTCATCAGCGATGAGTTGTTGACAATGATTGTGAGTAACACCAATAAATGTATAAGAATTATACAGCCCAACAGTTGGGTTAGAAAATAGTTACTATTCTCGAGAAAAAGATGCTCGTGAAGTGACACTAACAGAAATAAAGGGATCGATTGGATTACTCTTACTGTGCGGTGTAAGAAAATGTAGCCGTATGAACGCCCATGACTTGTATAACAAGAATGGTTCATCTATGGAGATCGCCAGACTACTTATGAGTGAGCGTATATTCTTATTTATCCTACGTTCTATGCGATTTGACGACAAAGACACTAGGACTGAGAGAATACAGCACGATAAACTTGCACCAATCAGGGAGTTTTGGAACGAATTCGTCAAAAATGCAAAGACAACCCTCTTTCTCCATCCCCTTTTGTGACACTTGATGAAATGTTACCAGCGTTTCGTGGAAAATGCAATTTTCGACAATACATACCAAGTAAGCCAAACAAGTATGGTATCAAAATACATGCGGCCGCCGACGCAAAAACGTTTTACACGTTCAATAAGGAGGTATATGTTGGTACTCAACCAGATGGTCCATTTTATTGCAGTAACAAGCCCACTGGTGTTTTAATTCGTCTCTCTGAACCTACTTCACAATCATGGGGGTGAAACGTAACAACAGATAATTGGTACTCTAGTTGCCCATTGACCACAAATCTTTTGAATGAACACAACTTGACGTCTGTGGGTACTTTAAGAAAAAATAAGACTCAAATACCACCTTTATTCTGTGTAACGAAAGGACGTTAAGAAAAATCGAGTGTGTTTGGATTTCCCGAGAATGTTCATCTCAAGTAGATATTATGGATAATAATGACGAATATCTTATTATAGTTTTGCTAAAATAATAATTAGTAGCTCTTAGGTATGTTTTCCTTATTTCATTTTATTATAATTTAGATTATAACTAGAATTATACATAGAATGATCTAACAACAAATATAATTTTAGAATTCCTATCACACAGTGCCATTGACAATGAATGTTATTTATTTCGAAGATAATTATAGTCAAGTTTATAATTTGTAAGTAGTAAAAAAGACAATTTCATTTTTTTTTTGTTGATTTATAACGGTGATTTTCACACAGAGATAAAAAGTCTGAGTTTTTATAGACCTTTGTACTATTAAGTACAAATAAAAAAATAACGAATAAATAAACTGTTTTTATTATATTTGACATGTATGTATCTATTATACTATAAGTCTAAATATTCATTTGTTTTCCCAAACAAGACACTTAAAGTTGCGGAATCACAGACCGCGCGCGACTGCTTAAGTTCAGCGCAAGGGTGCAACGGCTGGAAGGTTAAATCTTTTTACAGATGGGGAATATTAAAATTTCACAAAACAAAATATGCACGTCAGTTAATGGTAATATTCAGACAGTGGTGACAATAATCAGTATTACCTACTACCCTTTAAAAATTACTTACTCATATATTTTTGGCTTTTTCGATGACTTATAATTTTTTTTATTATTTTTAACAATTGCAAAAATCCGTAGCCGTATGTATATTTTTTTTAGAAAATCCAAAGGGATGCATAGGCATTATTTTTGTATAAAGCGCAGTCAGTCTGTGCTTGCGTGCGGTGCGTGAGATTAGAGAGACGAGACGAGACGCGAACTACTACGTAGTACGTACTAGCCCTCGGCCAAGGCAGTCGGCGACGGCCCGTTCCACGCCCCGCGTGCCTCTAAAGGCCCGCGCACACATCCAGACACCCACACATAGCCACAAGCGATTTACGTGCACACATGCTTAAGTGTCGTTTCTTTTCGCGTAGTGTATATTTTCTTTGCTACAGTTAAAATGTTATCTCGATCCAACTAAAATTGATGAAGCTACTGTGATTTTAGTGGAGCGGATTCTACAAAGTCACTACATTCACGTGACGTCATCATTCACTTCGTTCCTATTCGCGGTCAGCCGCAGCCCGCTGTTCGCTATCTTTTAATAATGGAAACATTTCATACAAAGTTCATTTATTAAGTAAGTACATGTTTACTACCTATAAAATGAAATAAGTATCATACTGATAATGACGTAAAATGATAGCTAAAGTACCTTTTCAATATATATTCTTACCTGTTTATTTTGTCTCCACGTATTTCCGCACTGGAATAATTAGCATTATTTCTGTGAAATTCGACCACCACAAAACCATCAACTTTCGGAAGATTGTCAGATTGAGCTTTAACAAAGCCGGATTCCATGTTATTTTAAAATTACCTTAATAATTTATATAACCTTACAAAATACATTTCATTTCAAAACAGGTGGGTGGTAGTTTACAACCGCAAACAGTGCTACAGATATACAGATAGATACAGAGCTGCTACAGCAAATGGCACGATTATTTATTAATCAAATGGATTGCTGCTAGTATATTATTTAATAATTTTCATTTCATCGTTTAAAGTGGATTTTGAGATAGTTAAAAGTTTGTATGTTAAATACTTACGGATGTAAACAATTTATGTACAAGTTTGGTTGAATAAGTTATTTTCCCATTTCGAGATATCAGGAGATACTATGCTATCCTGTCTAAACTTTTTTTCCTTTTTGATCCTCGGTTAAAAATCAAAATGCATATGCATTGTTACCCCTGAGGACTAACATGGAGTGCCTCGTATCCAGTAAAAAGGCTCACCGAGTTATCTACACCCATCATACGTTAGATAGCAGCATCATACTGCTATTGTACGCTGGTATTCTGAGAGAGTTATCCTCACTACAATCATAATAGGCTAGACCTTGTCACTTTTCAGTTTTGTGAAAATAGTAAACTGTAGATAGATACTATGATGATAAATCAGTAAATGATTTTTTACGTGGTAGAGCCATGCTGCAGCTATATTAGTAGTATAGTTGTAGCACGAATGGGTAGGCTCGACCGTGGAAGGACCACGCTCTCACAGAATACCAACTTAAAATAGCAGCTTAACGCTGCTGTTTCGTATGGCGAGTGTAGAGAGCCGGAGACCTTTTTTACTGAAAACGAGGCATTCCATCTTAGTCCTCACGGGTGACAACGCATTTGCATTTTGATTCGTAATCGAGGATAGATGTAGATGTCTAAGGGCCGCAGCAGCTACTTACCATCTGGTGGACTGTGTACTAGTTTGCCACCCTTATCCTGTATAAAAAAAGTGATTTTTTTACAGTTAAATAAATGGGCCGTCATAGATGGTTTTTTGGCTTAACTGTTGCAACATATTGTAAGGAATTTTTTAAACAAATTATATATAAATAATCTTTACAAGCTATATATAACAGAAAATATGTAATTTCTGAGTGATTTGCCAATTTCTTTATACTAAGCATAGGCAAAAGAACAATCGTACGAGTTCATTACTGAAGAAAAAAGCAGAAGTTGTCAGCTGTGGCTGTGGCTGTCAGCTGTCACTGTCAACCATCTGTCAATTATCATATCAGCCTTGTCAGCGTATCGTCACCCTATCAGCAATACAGTTGTTTTAGTTTTATCAGTATCAATTGAAGATGCAGACTGACTATCTCTTATTATGAGTTGACCTAATTTTATTGTAATTTTTAACATTATTATTTTCTTAAAATACTTTTCCACTACAGTGTTAGTGATAAGTATTAGAAATCAAATAGTGTAGTGTGATTGTGTTAGATAATAATTTTTCAAATATTTATTTCACTGAAAATATCCTTACCTAATTTATATATAGCCTGATAAAATTCACATTAGCCTTCTTTATCAGCTATGGAAAGTGATAAAAAAGATGTTGTTCGTGTGGGATCTAGAAAAAGTGAGGTATTATAACATGAACTTCCTAAATATGAAGATGTCTTACATAGTCCTTTTTATTTCTGTTACATAATTTGAAGAATGGAACATTGCTAAAACATATCACAAATATCAACGACTTTAATCAGTTTACTGCTGAATTTAGGTTTCTTGCAAAAAGAGCTGGCTCTCATATATTTCATTTCACCAATCAGGTGGCTTGAACCTTTCTCTGGGAAGCTGCATTCAATTCCCCATCTGTGAAATTTAGCTCCTGCACGATTGGATGGGCTTAAACCAACTTTTTTTTTAATATGTGAGGGTCAAATGAATATACTGCTTACCTGATGGTAAGTGACTACTGCCACCCATGAACAACTGCAACACTAGGGGAATTTGCAGTTGCGTTGCCGGCCTTTTAAAAAACAGTAGGCTATATATATTCTTAAAAGTCCCAAGTCATATCAGTTATATTGTAGTCATATATATTGTTTGCCAGAGCCTTTTGTTTTTGTTATTAAGTAGCAGGATACTAGACTTGCAGATGATTTTGATACTCAAAGCAAAAGTAGATATTTTCTTTCTTATCTCTCTGATATAGTTTGTTGTGGTAGTGTAAAATTAAAATTAAACAGTAAACATAAGTTGACCTACTGACCAATCATATATTATTAATGCCATAGCATCCCATACATTGTTCCCATCAATAAGTCAATATTGGGTACGACTTTCCATTGACTCCCATCGAGTTGGGGGTTGATACGTATTTTTACAGAAAAGTTACACTATTATAAGCACACACACAAAGTTACAATATGCGGAAGTGCATAATTTTTAAAATAGTGTCGTCTAAGACTCGCTCTTGGATTGTTACTCACACTCGCATGTGGCTCGAACGATGACGTGTACAGCTGCCCATACAACCTCTCAATCTCACTCAAAATCTCAGGTGTCCCGTAAACGATGTTGCCACACTCGGTCTTCAGCTTTGACAGTTGGCTCTTTCTGGCAGACAGATCTCTGGCAAAGACTTTGGAGCCTTGGTTCCGCTCGATTGCTCCTTCAATACAAGCTGTATTGAAGTTGCATAAGTCCCGTCGCATGCATTTGGAGGTCTGTCTGTTCAGTTGCCTGTATGCTATCAAATCTGTTGAAGAATGTAGCTTCATCTCCCGTCTAACAGCCATGAGATTGAGAGTGTGATTGTAGAGTTTTTGTGTTCTTCTGCGGCGGGTCTTGCAGAACTTAGCTTCGACCGCATGGACAGTTTCCACAAGCTTGTCATTCATATCGTCCACTTCATTGCAGTCTTCTAGGCACTGAAAACGATTTTGTAACTTGAGCTGAAAGGTTTTGGGATTTTGGAACAGAGCAGAAGGGGGACGGAGCGTTGACTTCATTAGATGAAACCTCTCCAACTTAACGTTTAGGTTCAGTGTGGCCTAACCATTCGGTGATCGCTACCAGTTTTCACCCTCGCGATCACGGAGACATCACTGAACAGTTGTCGTCTGGTCGTCATAATGAAGTCAATCTCATTTTTTGTGGAACCGTCGGGGCTCGACCAGGTCCACTTCCTGTGGGACCGCTTCTGGAAGAAAAAGTTCATCATAAAGAGTCCCTCTTTCTCCATGAAGTCGGCCAGCTGCTGGCCCCTTGGGTTCCGTTGCCCTATTCCAAATTTCCCCACTTTCAGCTCACCGTTTTCTCTTGTGCCTAGTTTTGCATTGAAGTCTCCCATTAACACCGTATATTGGGTTTTGGACGAATGCATGGCTCTAGAGATATCCTCATACATTTCCTCCACCTCCTCATCGGGATGCGCCAAGGTTGGTACGTAAACCTGTATGACCTTCAGCGAATACCGTTTGGTGATTCTCAGTATAAGGTACGCAACCCTTGTGGACGACAAACCCGACACCTCCTTGGGACAGATGGTCGCCCTCCCGGTGATAGAGCAAGTTTCCGGATTTGAGGATTACCGTGTCCTCCCCCTCTCTTCGGACTTCGGATAATCCTATAATATGCCAGCGTAACTTGTCTATCTCTTCTTCCAGCTCCACGATCTTCCCGTCAGTCCTCAGGGTGCGTGCGTTGTATGTTGCCAGGTCGAGTCGTCTTAGGTGGCAACCGAACCACCACCGGAGATTCTTAGCACCCCCTGCCCTGCCATTACCATGGTCGCCACCGTAGCCAGGGACTGGGGCCCGTTTCTTTGTTACTCCCATTATAGGGGGGGTATTTGCCATAGTTGCCACGCCTGGCGAGCGGATTAGCAACCGCAGTTTTTTTATTGTAAGTTTGTTGTTATCAGGAAGATGCTGCTGCCCATCTCCTGCCTGTCTCCCTTTGTCGCCTTTTACGACACCCACGAGAAGATGTGGGGTAGTGGATATTCTTAACCGCCACTACACGGCAGGGTTAATCTTTATATATAAAAATTACGTGTTACGTATCCCTATAAGTGACCCTCAATGTTTTTTATTACGATTTAAGAATTTTTATAGCATACAGGGGCAGAACAACGTCTGCCTGCTCAGCTAGTATACTATTAAAGAATACATAATTAATAATAATGCCTGGGAATTAGGTGATCATTACCACGCTGTTTCTAAATGTTTTCATATTTAATAGTGTAACATATTGTTTCTTGCTGGTTCTTCACAGGACAGAGGTTTTTTCTGTTCCTGTGAAACTTGAAAAAAAAATCAAACCTATTCTATCTTGTGCTGCCATTGTCGTAAACTTTAACTAAGTTTTTATTTTCAGTTAGCACTTATACAAACAAACTTTGTGATAGATAGCTTGAAGAAAGTGTATCCAGAAAAAGAATTTACTATAGGTAAGAGAATAGTATAATAGATTTTTTTTTTAATTTTTGCTATTGATTTCTAATGTAAATTGCCTTAATTTACAAGTTTTAAAAACAAACAACTAACATAAACATTAACAATTTTTTTACATGTGGTAGGGCCACCCTGCAGACATATTATGGTTGTAGCACAAATGGGTTGGCTCGACCAAGAAGGACCACACTCTCACAGAATAACAGCATACATAAGCAGTTTTATACTGAAAATGAGGCATTCCATCTTGGTACTCTGGGGTGACAATACATCTGCATTTTGATTCTTGATCAAGCATAGATGTAGATGTCTCTACGGGCCACAGCACCCACATACCATCATTATGGACTATGTACTTGTGTGTCACATTTATGCTTTAAAAAAAATATTGAAGTATCAGTTGAGTTAGACTTGTGAGAAGTTTCGTGCTCATGACTTTATGACTTCAAATGGGAATGTAATTGGAAAGAGCTTACGTTAATTATGGCCCCGTACTAGCAGATTTATCTTTTCAGCCTTTATATTCATGATTGATGATTAAAGCTGCGTTTAGTCGGCGGAAATAACATTAGTGTATAAAAACTTAGTATGGTAGCAGCAACATCTGCTGTCCACTGCTGAACATAGGCCTCCCCCATAGATCGCCTCATGGAGGGAATATTTACCGCGCTGGGCTGGCGAGATGGCAACCTCAGTCTTTTATTTTTTTAATTTTTATTAGAAAGACACTGCTGCCCATATTCGGGTTCGTTTCCCTCTATCGCCCTGTAGGTACGACACGCACGAAACATCATGAGATAGTGGATAATTTTACACTCCACTACACGGTCAACCCATTTTAAATTTCGTATAAATTGCCAAGCCCTATTAGTATGTTATTGTAGGTCTAAAAGAAAAACAATCCATTACCGTGATTTGAGTCACTTTTCTTACAGAGTTATTAGTTAAATATCAGTTTGTTTCTTTACAACCTGTAAACGAGTTTAAGGGATATATCCAGTATTCAACATAATTTTGATTACATTCTTATTTTTCAGTATCAATGACAACGCAAGGAGACCGCATACTCAATGTATCGCTCCCAAAAATCGGTGAAAAGTCACTGTTCACAAAGGACTTGGAGGATGCACTGAGAAACAACAGTGTGGATTTTGTTGTACATTCCTTGAAAGACTTGCCGACCACATTACCAGAGGGATTGTCTATTTGTGCCGTATTTGAAAGGTAATACATGTTTTTATTATGAGCTAAAAATCGGATGAAAAAGTAGGGAGAGCCGTTAGTTATAAAATTTCCTATCTCTACCTGTATTTCTCAGTAGTTCTTTCAACCTGCTACAGCATGCCAGTATGTCGCGCAACGCGCTTAGACGTAGAGTTGCGGAAAATATTTATTTATTTAAACTTCATACAATATGATGTATAGGCAGACTTAATGCCTGAGGCATTCTCTACCAGTCAACCTTCCCGTCGTAAACTAACCTAACACATTCACTGTACGGTTTCCAGACACAATAGTAAGACAATAGCATTTTTTTAATTTAAAAAAAAATAGCAACGTACCTTATGTGGCTTGTGGGACTGGGAATGGTCATGCATGCGGCGACAGACATACAAACCTGGAGATGGGCAGCAGTGTCTTCCTAATAATAACTAGAAAATAAATCCAACGTTCTCAACACCCCCCCCCCCCCCCCCCCCCCCCCGACAAGCGTGGCAACTGTGGCAAGTATTCCCCTCGGGGGCAATCTTTGGGGAGGTCTATGTTCAACAGTTGACTTTGATAGGCTGTAATGATTACTACGATGAGATGATATAATATTACGGATCCCTTTTTTTATAGTATAAGAGTGACAAACGAGCACACAGTCCACCTGATGGTAAGTGGTTGCTGTGGCACATAGACATCTACATCTATCTTCGTTTGCGAAATAGAATGCCTCGTTTTCAGTAAAACATAGAACATTAACTTCTACTATAACCCATTGGCTATACCCATTTCAGTACGAACGTTACGTTAGCGTCTAGCTACAGCATCTTTAATTACCAAATAAAAAGTAAAAGTTAATTAGTAGACAGGAAACTTCGTACAATTAACTTTGTGCCACTTTCAGGCGGTAACGTCCTTTATTAACGACGTGCTTTTAGACGAACGACGCTCTATCAAAGATAATGTCGGCGGTGCCGTACCAGACATACTTATGTAATAATTCTGATCATCGATTAATATATCAGAAGTCTATCACCATTGAATCCGCTTCCCATCGCCGGTCTAAAATGAGATGGTTAAGGATTTCTTATCTTAAATTATTTTTATATAATCTAAGTTTCTTACGCGAACACTACACATTAAATAAAACTAATATTATTTAATATATACCTGCACCTGCAATCCCCTGGTGTTGCAGTCGTTCATGGGCGGCGGTAGTTACTTAACATCAAATGAGCCTCATGCTCCTTTACTCCTTATTTTATAATAATTAAAAATTAAAAATTTTGTACAGCCGACTTAAATATAAATTATTAAGAATAACTCAAAAACTATTGATCTGACCTTGATAAAATTCATATGAGACCATATGTGAAGTACCAGCTTTCAAATAAAAAAAGAATCATCGAAATCGGTTCACCCAGTAAAAGGTTATGAGGTAACACACATAAAAAAAACAGTCGAATTGAGTACCGTCTCCTTTTTGAAGTCGGCAAAAAAAAGAATAGCATAGTGAAATAGAGCAGCACAATGCTAGTTGAGTTATTATCTGGAAGATGATGCTGCCCATCTTCTGTTTTGGTTTCCCTCTGTCGCCTCTCACTACACCCGCGGGACGATATGGGGTAGTGGAAATTCTTACACCGCTACTACACGGGCAGAGCTATCCAATCAATATGGACTCAAGTACTACTACTTGGTTCAAGACGGGAACAGTTATGAAACAAGATCACCAGCCTCCATGGAGGATCAATAACATGGTCAAGAAAGAATTCATCAGGCAAAATTACAAGACATATAAGAAGTAGCCGAGGATTACCATCCTTCCCTCTTTCAATAAAGCCATACAGACCTGCTGCTAGCCCGAGAGTGGGGAGAGTCACACATAAGTGTATGTGTGACGGAACCTTTTTACGAATCAACGAAGCATACAATCTTATTCGCTAGATTTTTATTAACAGTGAAAAAAGGGTACAGCCATATATTAGCCAGTCGCAATTTTACTACCGGTTAGTGCAGTCGCTTCATAATGACGTGACGGCTCTAATGCCGAACTTACAGTATTTTTGTAACGTAAGCATACCTACTGCGCAAAAATAATTCGAAATGGCGTGTCAACCTAAACGTTCCGAAACCGTCGTAATCCACGAGTTGCTGGCCTTTGTTCAACAAAAATTGGACGTCATGGACCAGGTGTCTCTGGAGCAGATACTGATGACAAGCTTCACCGAGGACGAGATCATCCAAGCGAAGAAGGTGTTAGCAGATTCAGCCGTGACCCAAATCCGTCTTATTACACGTCACAGGGATGGACGCGGTAAGAAAGACCTGCAAGACATCTTCAGGCTGTTCAATGAGACCGACCCTGATGACATCCCAACTTTCGTCGCGCGTGATCTCAACAAGCTGCCTCCCGTGACGTTCGATCACGTAGGCGTCACCAGATTGTTGAAAGACATCACCACGTTGAGAGCCGATATTACCGACATCCGTTCCAAATTTGAGGAATCAGAACGAGCCGCAACAGAGCTGAGGAACGAAGTCAATATGTTGCGCAACATAATTGCAACATCTGCAAATTCACCGCCGTCGCAGAATGTGAATACGACACGCGGTAACCGTAATAGTAGTCATATTTCACCGATGATTGCGACTCCGTCACGCGATACCGTCTGTCAGCGGGTTGATGACCGAGAAACTAGGGCGACCTCGGTCGTCATTGCATCACCACCTCAACCCTTGACTGAACCCATTGGTACTCCTCCGCCGAAGCCAACCTCAAAACAAGGGAAGACGTTTGCGGATGTTGCCCGAAAATCTTTACAACCGGCACCCTCTTGTGGTCGAAAGCGGAAGAATGTGGAAATAAAATCAGTTCCAGTGGTGACCCAAGACAAGATTGGTAAGAACGGGTTTACTCTTGTTGAGAAGAGACGTCGGTCGCGACCCGTCTGTAACCAGCGTGGGACCGCGAAAATAAACGCGAGTACAACTCTGCGTGCTGTGGAGCCAACCATACAACTCTACATCTCCCGTTTGGACAAAAGTACGTCGGGAGAAGACGTCCTGCGCTTCGTGGAAGAACGAAGCCGATGCCGCATTGAGGATCTGATCTCTTTACATTTGCAGCGTCTGGAGTCTAATAGGTCAACGAACTTCAAATCCTACGTACTCCAGGTTCCTGCAAAACATAAAGAGATATTCCTCGCTCCCGATTTCTGGCCCTCTGGGGTAGTGTTTCGCTGATACAGGGACGCGCCAAAGAAAAAAGTTCCCTAAATAGTGTTATGTCTATATTTTATATATATTTTTAGGTTAAGGTATATATTGCTATGGGCCAATGTTCTTAATTTTTAAACCCTTGATGCCTGAAATAAAGTTATTGTATTGTATTGTATATATGTAATAAATAATTTATTACACATATGGTACAGCGCTATTCTGCGCGTTAGTACTAAAATTATTTTTAGTTTTAGTTTCAATTTCAGTGTTGCCATCTCCGGCGAAAAAATATAGGATTCTCCCGCTCTGTAGAACTAGTAGGCAGACATGCATGTTATTGTATAAGAAAGCAAAAAAAAAATAGAAATACTTTACCTGCATGGTGACTAATAAGAAATCAAAAAATAGAGAAATACAAAATATTATATTATGATTGTAGCACAAATGGGTCCGCTCAAATGGGGTAGGACCACGTTCTCGCAGAATACCAGCGTGACAACGCATCTGCATTTTGATTCTCAATGGAGGATAGATTGTCTATGGGCCACAGCATTCACTTATCATGGGGTGGTGAGACTGTGCGCTCGTTTGTCACCATTATTCTTTTAAAAGCCTTGTGGTTTTACATATATAGTCATAGCCGTAATTTGGAGCGCGTCAGCTCCAAATTACGGCTATGACTTGTTAAAATAAGCACGCGCCGACTTGACAGTTTCACTGACTAAACAGACAGTAAAAGTAACAAACGTAACTTAATGATTTTGTTGCAGAGAGGACCCACGAGACGCGTTAGTACTTCGGGAAGAGTTAAAAGATTACACGTTAAAAACATTGCCGGCGGGATCGGTTATTGGTAAATATTTTAATTGTAAAGTCTTTCCTTTAAAAATGCCATCACGGAAAATCCTTATCCTGATTCTATTACAGCATATAAAATTCCACTGCAAAACATAGGTCCCCCAACAGATTGCCTCATAGGGACCACCCTATTTGCCATAGATGTCACGTTTGGCAGATGGGTTTGCTACCGCAGTTTTTGATTAAGTTGTTATTAGGATGATGCTGGTGCCAATATTCTGTTTCAATTTCAATTTGTCATCTGTAACGACACCCACGGGATGGTATGAGGTATAAACAAGCGCCAAACGCCAAAGATTTGTCCTGATCCTGATTACCACGACATAAACCCAAAAGATAATAAATTATGTAAGTAGTAATAAACCATTTACCCCCTACCTTTTTTTTTTTACTTTACCTATATTTTAAAAGGCAATTTCATCAGCACGCGGAGCGAAACCTGCTTACTAACGATTCATTCGTTTGTAGGTTCTGCTGTAATAGCAATCAACTAAATGAATGAGAATTAATATCAAATATACAGAACCCATACGGTGTGCTGATGGCGTAAGAGAATTCAACTCATTTCGTCCCATGGATACACGATAGTGGGTGTAATTATGTACTTGTATAGTACACATCACAGGAGTGTAGATTAAAAGAATTTGTTAGGGATGTAACAAAAATGTTTACGGTGACCAATATTACCATAATTGTAAATTAGAATATTTTCATTGTGTAACTTAGTACATGATTAAATAAATAATACACACTTAACGATGTAAATTTTTAATCGTTTAAAAGTCGTGAGAATTTTTTTTTATAGTTTCTTTCGAAGTCATATCAAAACCAGTTACAATAAATGACACTGTTGCAGTAGTTTATTATGGTTATTATCATCCATGTATTGTTTAATCTATACATATAATAAAACTGTAAATAGCAGATGTCTGTACATTTTATATTTTTGTAATAAAAGTGATTGAGGGGTACTAAAAATAAGTAATTAAATACATTTCTACCATTTTTAGAATTTTCTGTCTGTCTGTCTGTCTGTCTGTCTGTCTGTTTGTTTGTTAACGTATCACGTATAAAGTACTAATTTATATCATAAGAATTGTTAAGGAAATTATAAAGTGTATCTTCGGGTTACATTTAGTCTTTATTTCACTAAAATCAGTTCATTCCATCAAAAGTTATGATAAATATTCTGAAGTATGGGTAGGGAAGTATAGGTATGAATTTGCTCAACGGTGGCTTTGTTTGAGTCATCAGGTGCATTTTAAACTAATATCATATCATAAATCATAGTTAAATTATGTAAAATAATGATATAATTATGTATATCTAAAACGCAGTAAACAAAAGTATTAAAAAACGTATTAAATATATTATACAAAAATATATTAACCTTATTAACTAAATCTGAAGCACAATAGTTTTCCCATTTCTTCGATAGATGGTGGTGTTGTGAAAATGTAATGCAATTGCAATGTTTTTTTTTCCTGTAGATGAGTTTTCATATTTACTGCTAATCTTTATTATATTACTCGCTGCCCTACTGTTTGTTGATAAACTCAATTTATTCTTTACCGCCGAGTACTCTATATGGTAAATCAAATTTTAAAAGAGCTATTAACAAATCGTTGGTTTTGGCGAGAGTCAAACTTTATTTTTTGCTTACTGTGCAGGCACTGATTTATAAGTACTCTTGCGTTTTATATAATGTATCAATCACGTCAATTAATCTCTTTTATTTTTAGAATTGATGTTAGCAGCGCCATCTCTCTTTAATGATATACATATAATAAAAATGATGATAACATATTGTGTCTCTTTCTGTACATTGTATAGGTATATATTTTGGTGGCTAAAATCATTATGGGGAACTGAAAATAATTAAATAAAAACATTTTATAATTTTTAGAATTGTCTGTATGTCTATTTGTCTGTTATTATATGAACGCATCACGTCTAAAGTAAACATCTTTTATTTTCAAAGAAATCGTTAAGAAAATCATAAAGCGTATCTTCGAGTTACATTTAATCTTTGTTTTATTAAAATTGGTTAATTCTATCGAAAGTAATGATTATTATTTTGAAATGTAGGTTCGAATTTGTTCAATGGCGCCATAAAATCTCAGAAATAGTAATAAAAAGATTTGTGTGTAAAAAAAAACGTTCCATAATAATTAATATATTTATACAAACACAAAAAGAGATTTAAAAAGGATGTTTTCTCACACAAAGGACGTAATAGATGGAGTTGTACAAATTACAAACTTTTCTGAATTGCTGTGTTGAGATTTTTCGCCGATGAATCGTATTGAGACTTACTGAAGAAATTTGTATCCATCGAAGCCATACAACGGAATCCGACCAAAAATAAAAATTTTGTAACGAAATGTCGTGATATTGTATTTATAATATACGCAAAATCAGTACTGCCACTTTAGCGCTTTGGGAACTAGATTTAGCGCTTTTTTGGAATGTATAGCGCGCATTTCGAAATTTTAGCCCTAGCTTAATCCAGCGCTTTTTGGTGTATTTAGCACACATTTCAATATTTTAGCGACTAGCGGGTTATTAACTCTTTTATAGCAGCACTGTTAGTCCACATTACCAATAATAATAATAATGACCTTTATTATTTTTTCCCACAAATAGTACATTGCAGTTTATCTTTTTCAAACATATTTTTTCCACAAAACAAAGAGCATGGGAGACGAGTCCAAACTAGGATACCCTGTGCTATGGATCTCCTGGCTTCCCCTTTAGGATGATCAACTTGATTTTTTTACCGACGACTGTAAGCGGGGAAACCCCTTTATTAAAGTTTTTGTTCATGGTTTTGGCAACGCATTTATTTTGCTTTATTCAGTTTCAGTCAGTTGCTTAGAGCACAGCTAAGTTAAAAGTTACTTAGAAGTTATAACACAAAGAAACTGTGTAGCAACCGCAATCAGATGCTGACATCTGAAACTAAGTTGCGAAATACATTGCACTTTAAAACAATTAATGACATTTTTATTGTTCGTACAGTACTAACTACTGTTGACAGCAATTGCCATAATTATAAGTCGATGTCCTGCGAAGTATTGATACATCAAAAAAATATTGCCAGAAAAAGAACTTAATGTTGTTTTCTTTATTATGATTATATAAAAAAACACAAACTTTGTTTGTAGTTAATTTAGCGCGAAATCTAGGGCTTTTTTAAAGCGCTGTTTTCATGAAATCTAGCGCTTTTTGTGTTGTCCTAGAGCTGAATTAGTTTTTTTTATCTGGCAGCACTGCCCAAAAACCTTCTATTAAGAAGTAACTTTCCTTTCAGTTTTAAGCGCGTTCAGTTCCCAGTTACAGTGAGCGTGTGTTATGCGATGACCGTAAATAAAGCGCAAGGTCAAACTTTACGCGTTGTAGGAGTGTACCTCAGTACTGACTGTTTTGCACATGGCCAACTCTATGTTGCTTTTTCCCGCGTTAGTAGCCCCCGTAACCTTTTAGTGTACACCCCGGCTAAGCCTACTTCTCACGTCGTTTACATAGAAGCTCTATCATAAACGACTTAGAACTTTGATGATAATGATTTATTTAGTTACCACTTATTGATACAGTAATGAAATAAATCGTTTAATATTCTCTTACCTAAACGACAAATTGTTTATGTAAAACCTGTATACGCGAGCTACGCCGCGGGCACAGCTAGTATTATAATAACTTTGAGTAACAGAGTTTGCAAAGGGCGCCCTAGAGTTTTTAAGTCACATCTTGCCGACTCGATAAACTTGCGTCTAGGGCTTAAAAAGAAGTTTGTTGACCAAATTGCCGATATATTAAAGATGGGTTAAAATAACAAACAAACAAAATAATCGACGAACATGTATGTGTAGAACGTAGATATACGGATGAGAAAGAAGCGAGATAGGTGTGTCAGTTCGTGCCAAATGGATGTTCGTAGTTTCTTTCTATCTCTTTGGCTGTCAGACTCAGACGAGAGTAAGAGTTTGTATTATGTTTTGAGGTTGGCAATAGATTTAAAATGGTATAAAAATATAAAAATTTCCCAGGCACGTCCTCCCTCCGTCGAACTGCTCAGTTAAGAGGCTCGTATCCCCACCTCTCCGTAGTGGACGTCCGCGGCAATCTGAACACGAGACTGAGAAAATTGGACGCGTCAACTAAAGAATACTCTGCGTTGTTGCTGGCAAATGCTGGACTGCAGAGAATGGGATGGGGGAATCGAGTGTCACGAGTGAGTTAAATTTATTGCAGAATTCAATACAGTTTCGACAATAGCCTAATGATAAGGCGCGGACCGTGAACTCGAATATCGTGGGTTCGAATTCGTCATTCGACTGTATTCGACGTGTACTTCTCCTTATCAGTTTCTGAGCAGTTGCAATATTTGTGCAAAAACATGGTAGAGTCATGCTACAGCTATATTAGTAGTATAGTTGTAGTACGAATCTCGGTCGGCTCGACCGGGGAAGGACCACGCTCTCACAGAATACCAGCGTAAAGTGGCAGCTTGACACTGCTGTGTGTCGTATGGTGAGTGTACAGAACCGGAGACCTATTTTACTGGAAAAGAGACATTCCATTTTACTCCTCAGGGGTGACAACGCATTTTCATTCTTAATCAAGGACAGATGTAGATGTCTATGGGCCACAGTAACCACTTACCATCAGGTGGACTGTGTGCTCGTTTGTCATCCTATCCTATTAAAAAAATTGGTTCTCTAGACTGGTTGTATTTGTCAACTTGTCGTTAACACTGTGTCATATTTTCTTTCTATTTACAGTACACTTGACGGCGAGTGGTTACTTCAGTCCATGTACATCTGCACACTTCAACAAACTTCAAACAAAGAAAGCTACAGATGCGTTGTCACCCCTGAGGACTAAGATGGAATGCCTAATAGCCTGTCACTGGCTCTCTAATATCCTTCTATACAAATAAATAATCATTTTATTTATTTGTATAGAAGATGTATCAAGTGTATGAAGAAGTGTCTGTTTGTAATATCAAAATTTGGGCTTTTTACTAAATGCATATGAAAGTATACCATACTAATAACAAAAGAACCTTTTTTTTAAATTTTTGTCTGTTTGTTCCGGCTAATTTCTGAAACGGCCCGACTGACGGCAGATAGCTGATGTTATAATTAGTAACTTAGGCTACTTTTGTTTTAGAAAGAGAATTAGGGTTCTTCGCAAAAAATATTAAAACTTATGAAATCCAATCGTAATAAATTACACGCGGGCTACGTCGCGGGGAACAGCTAGATGATTAATAAATTGACATTTTCTGTCTATACTTCTACTTATACATTCCATACATTAAAACTTTGTTTATTCTTTAACACACCTTCAACTAGGGGTTACAAAGGGCGCACTTAACCCATATGTGCCCGTAACTTTTTTAGCAACTAATTCTTATGATTTTTGGATTAAGTGCATAAAATTGGGCTAGATACTAGCACAATTTAGTCACAATTCTAGGCAGTAAATTCAGGTATTCAGTATTGGAAACATGTTTTTTTAATGGGTCGTTAACGTCCCACTGGGCCAATAAACTTACATATTTGTATGGAAATCCAACATCAAAATAAAATGAAAGAAAATGTTTTAAGTCAATTTTTATTCATAACAAACGTAACAAAATTATACATGAAAATTGGCAAAACACTTGTCGTGTAGATTTATACCACATATTTTGGTGGTTTTGTTTTTACAAACAGCACAACGTTTTCGTGATTGACCTGTTATGATCAAGTGATCTGCACCGTGCTTCCGAACAGACATAGGAACATTACTGTGAAAAACAGGCAGTGTCGTTGGTCCTGGGTGAAGTCTTGGCGCTCGAAACTTCTGTAACAAGGAACGCGCAATCGAACGTCTGAACTCCAAAGTGTCAACTTCAGCACCCGTTGATCTAGCTAGCAAAGTAGAATTATTGACGGTTACATCAATTATCTACATTATAATGCTAGAATACCATTTTTTACCTCTAATTGCAATTCTGTATGTCCCAACATTGGCATCTAGTCTATCGACTCCACCCATAAAACGATTATACTGCTGAACTACATAAGGCTGCTGAATATCAACCTTTTTTTTCTCGAATGCCGAATAGCGTTTTGCTTTTTGAATTGGATGAACACCGTATTCATTGGAGAGTAAAGTAACAACACTGTTGTCATTCCAGCGTACAGCACATATTTGGTCGTTAGTGTCCAAACGGTAGTCGTAATAGCCTCTTTGCTGCTTTTTGACAGACTTGACATCCATTAACGGACATTTATCAATCCTATTTTGGTGCACAGTGCCTGTTACCTTGATGTTCTTGTCCTGCAAGAGTTGGTGAGGTAAAAAAATTGTCACAAAAAACTGAAAATTGGGCTTCAGGGTATTCTTTTTTCGTAGCTTCCATCATCTTAGTAACTACGTGTTCTCCAAGTCCAGTGGATCGTTGTTCACATTTTCCGTCATATAAATCTGCATGAAGACAGTACCCTAGTCGTGTAGCAGCCGTCCAAGCTTTGAATCCGAACCGTATGGGCTTGCCATGTATATGCTGCTTGCATCCATGGCGGCCATAATATGGAATCATTGACTCGTCTATACATCAAGAATTTTTCAAGAAAAATCAAGCAATGGTCTAACTTTAGCCATTTTGTCATTTGAGCGCAAATTATTATTGTCTGCTGCATGAAAATATCTGAATATTTCCTCAAAACGATTGCTGCTCATCGACTTTGAAACAAGAACATTGTGAGTGTCTTCATTTGTTTCCCAAAACATTCGACGTCTGGGTAAAAGTACATAACCACTAAGAATGAGAATTCCTAGGAAACAGTAAATATCATCTCCTGACAAAGTAAACTTTGTATTGGGGTCCTGTTGCACTGCATATATAACAGAATGTTTCGCAAGATGTCGAATTACATCTTCACTGAAAAACAACTCAAAAAACTCTAAAGGTTCACTTTCTTTACTCAAAGTTAGTACGGTTCTAGGAGGTGGTTGAACCCACACATTTTGTGGTAAATTTAAGTCTCTCTTGGTCCATCGTCTTGGTTTCTGTTGAAGTAATGGACATGCGCCTGACCTGCTACTAGACTGCTCTTGACTAGTAGAAGGCCTGTCTTGACTGGTCGTCGGTTGCCTGAGTTGCTCATTACTTATTGTAACAGCTGGTTGAGACTTTTTAGGCATACGTCGAGTTTTAGCAGGAGTAGGAGAAGAGATTTCAGATTCAATAGCCTCGATTTCAACATGCTGGTCATCTTTCGACGTGTGAATTACTGCGCGAGAAGCTGGTGGCCGATTCAATCTATCAAAATCGCAACAGTCTTCTTCCCCCGAGTCACCATCAGAAATATCACCGTTACATGGTGGATCTATATAAACATCTATACCTTGAATGTCTTCCGCCTCCTCCAAAGCTTCGAGGGCATCAGCTATTTCAGTAATGGAAAGTAATCGACGAGACCTGCAAAACGCCAAATATAAGTATCTTATATGCTGGTGGGTAGATAGCGACCCACCAACATATTTTCTACATGAACTTGTTAAATAAATATGATTATCGCAAAATTTTATCAAAAAAAGTCTAGAAATATTCTAAAGTTACATATACATGCATAAGTTATGTAAAACAAAGTTTATATAAAAAATACTTACATTTTTGCTAGCGCGGGTGAACAATTTTGTTGCGAAAAAACTCAACTGAATTTTAATTTTCATCTGTCAAATTTGACACTTGCCGGAGTACGGATGATGCGCATGTATGAAATAGTACTTTAGATAAGCAGAATATGGCGCTAGACACAAATAATTTATTACCGTTTTCTTTCGCAACTCATTTTTATCGAAGTAAGTAGAATAGGTCATTAACAGCCTTCTGGGAATATATGGGTTAATGCCCTATGGCATTCTCTAACAGTCCACCCTAAGACAGATGGATTAAAAAAAGATGTTTAAAACTTTGTAATAAACATGCGTAAACTTCTTCTTTTATACGTGGTAGAGCTGCAGCTTTATTAATAGTATAGTTGTAGCACGCATGGGTTGGCTCGATCGGTGAAGGACCACGCTCTCACAGAATACCAGCGTAAAATAGCAGCTTCATGATGCTGTTTCGTATGGTGAGTATAGAGAACCGGAGACCCTTTTTACTGGAAAAAAGGCATTCCATTTTAGTCCTCACGGCTGACAACGCATCTGCATTTTGATTTGCAAACGAGGATAGATGTAGATGTCTATGGGCCGCAGCAACCACTTATCTTCAGATGGACTGTTTGTTCGCTTGTCACTCTATTCCTATTAAAAAAAATTTAATTATAGTTCACATATTACCCGCGGGCTTCCTTATTGAAACAGAGTCCAGTATAAACTACTTGTAAAGATACCACAAACGATTCTCGACTTTGTTTGCAGATCCTCCCTTGTTCTGAGATAATGTACGCAGTGGGACAGGGAGCTTTGGCGGTGGAATGCCGGTCAGATAATGAGGAGATATTAAATATGCTCGCGCCTTTCAACCATCCTGAGACGTACTGCAGAGTCCTAGCTGAAAGGAGTTTCCTGAAGACATTGGGTGAGTTACCAAGTAATTGTATGCAGGTAATAGTTTCGATACAAATAATCAAAAAACAGTAATCGGGACTTGATTTGTTTGCTTGAGTTGTTTATCTCCCCTCCTAAGGCGGTCCCCCCATCGCAATTTAGTGACGACCTGATAAAACATGCACAGAGTTGATAGACGTAAATGGCTTTAAACAGTGATTTGTTGCGGCGTTGGAGGGTTTCTTTTTATGGGATAGAGTGACAAACGAGCACACAGTCCACCTGATGGTAAGTGGTTACTGTGACTCATAGACATCTACATCTATCCTCAATAAAGACTCAAGATGCAGATGCGTTGTCACCCGTGAGGACTAAGTCAGTAAAAAATGGGTCTCCGGTTCTCTACACTCACCATACGAAACACAACAGCGTTAAGCTGCTGTTTTACGCTGGTATTCTGTGAGAGCGTGGTCCTTCCCGGGTCGAGCCGACCCATTCGTGCTACAACTATACTACTAATATAGCTGCAGCATGGCTCTACCACGTAAAAACAGCAGTGAACTTGTTAATCGTAACTCTTAACATGCAGTCAAACGATCGCAGACTTCTCGCACGTTGGACGTCGGACTCAGTAGTTTACGTTTGGCGTTAACGAGATGGTATACTGTCATTTATCGAAATATAATCCATACGATTTTTCTATCATTTCACATAGTGGCCTCTTATAATACCCAAATAACGAAATAGATGATGGATTTTCTTACGCTGTCACCACCCTAAGACGTTTTTTTTTAAATAGAATAAGGATGACAAATGAGCACACAGTTCACCTGATAAGTAGATGCTGTGGTTCGTAGACGTCCACATATATCCTCGATTAAGAATCAAAATACGGATACGTTGTCACCCCTGAGGTCTAAAATGGAATGCGCAAGGCATTTCCAGTAAAAAGGGCCTCTAGTTCTCTATACTCACCACACAAACAATATTAGCATTAATATGCTATTTCACGCTGGTATTCTTGAGAGCCCGGTTCTTCCCCAGTCGAGCCAACCCATTCGTGCTAGAACCATAATAAAGCTACAGCATGACTCTCACCACGTAAGACTATGTTAACAGATGTTAGCATTTGAAAAATAAATGTTGGTACATTCCTTCTTCACGCTGCAACATATTATAATTTATTTTTTCTCATCTCACATAGGTGGCGGTTGCAGTGCCCCCGTAGGTGTTTCCACGAAATTAAAACCACTCGACTCTCAGTTCCAACTCACAATTTGCGGAGCTGTATGGAGCATGGATGGCACAACAAAAATCGATGACACACTCAAGCAAGTGTTGCCACATATTAAAAAGACGTCCAAACACAAACTGAGCCCCACAGAAGATTCAGACTGCAAGAAGTTAAAGAAAGAAGAAAACGGAACGTCAAATAAAGAGCAAGTCAATCCCGTGGAAGAATTAAACAGAAGGATATCCGAAGGTCGAGGAAACAGAAATTGCGTCGATACGAGATCACCAGAAGAAATTGCTAGCTTAAAAGAGTGTCGAATATTCTGCGGTCTTTCCGAGAACACCAACATTCCGATCGGAGTGATAGTTAGTTGCGATAATTTGGGGAGGGATTTAGCTAATAGTTTAATATCCAAGGGTGCTTTAGAAGTGATGAAAGTCACACAAGACTACATAAGGAGTTCTGTCGCGACTCAGAAGTCCTGATTGTTGTATTTTTTTATATATCTGTATAGATTTAGAAGCGGGAATAGGTTTCGTATTTTATCCTATATTTTTTTTTATAGAAGAGGGGGCAAACGAGCATGCGGCTCACCTGATGGTAAGTGACTACCGCCGCCCATGAACAACCGCAACACCAGGGCAATTGCAGATGCGTTGCTGGCCTTTCAGATAGGTGTAAGCTCTATTCTTGAAGGTCCCTAAGTCGTATCGGTCCGGAAAAATCGTCGATGGTAAACAATTCCACAGAGAAGTTGTACGAGGAAGAAAACTCGTAGTAAAACGCACAGTCGTGGACCGCCAAGCATCCAGATGATGAGGAAATATATACCTAGTCAGGTCATAAATTCTGTCACATGTTTAATATAAAATAATTGAAACAAGTTTATTCATTATGTAACCATTTATATACCAAAATGAACTTAACAAAACATAGATTCTTATGACACTAAAGTTTATTCAAAATGACCTCCGTGATTTTGAATACAGGCCTTCAATCTGCACGGCCAGTCGTCTATCGCAGCATGAACGAGGTACGAGAACGAGAAATTGGGATGAGGCTTTGAGCACGCCTTTTCCTCCAAGTGTTGCCATATCTTGTAATGTAACGGATTCAAATCTGGACTGGAGGAGGGCCAGTCTTCGTGCCGGATGAAGTCGATTTCACGCGCCGCCAGCCAGTCTTGTGTGCTCTTCGCTCTATGAGCTGGCGCCGAATCTTGTTGGAATACCCAGTGCCTGTTATTGAACATGGTAGAAACAGGTTCCACACGGTTCGTCAGGACTGTATTTTGATACACAACTGCATTCGTTTTTACACCTTTCTCACAAAAATGTACCTCTGTTAAGCCCCAATAAGAAACTCCCAATCATACCATGAGCGAGGATGGAAAATGACCTCGTTGGACACGCGGAATACGGTTGCTCGCTTCTTCACTACTGTGTGCGTACACCTTATCATTTTGTTTGCTGTAGCTCTCTTCTACGGTAAAAATTTTTTCATCCGAAAAAAGAATTTCCCGATATTTTTTTTTTCGCGTACCGCTTCAACAAAGCGCGGCATCTCTTCAGTCTCAGGTCCATTAGACGAGCATTCAAACGATGTCCTGTTTTTCTTCGATATGCCCGAAGCCCTAAGTCTTCATTTAACACCCTTTTCACCGTGGTTCTGCTTAACGCCATCTGAAGGGCCAACAGTTTCTGCTTAGGTTTAGGATTTCTTTGAATTCACGCCTTCACAGCTTTTATCACTGCTGGAGTCCTAACAGACCGAGGGCGACCACTTCTTGACCTGTCATCTACACTAGAGTCTTCATTGTATCGTTTGATGGTACGATAAACGAATCTTTTGATTATATTCCAATTTTTCAGTATGTCAAAAATTTGAATTGGCGCGTAACCGCAACGATGCAACGCAATAACTGCAACACGGTCTTCTTTAAGCGTCCACTCCATATTTAAAAATGAGTAAAATTCTAAAAAGTATACAGTTTTATTTTCATGAACAATTCGAAATTCGAATTCAATAAACTTTTTTGTGGCCAGCATTCTAAAAGAAAAGTTTTTACTAAGTGACAATACTTATGACCTGACTAGGTATATATATATATATATATATATATATATATATACCTGTTCGCGCAAAACTCTGTTGTCGGAATCGACACCAGATGTCACTCGGCTCGGCGCGATTCCGGTCTGAAGTTCTTCCGAGCTTGGCAGTGGCGCGCGGGTCGCAAGCGAGTCAGTCATCGGCCGGATGTGCTAATGTTTGCACGCTGTTAATTTTGTGCGGGAACCGCGGAATAGTTAGGGCGTCTAGTAAATATCCTGTCTAGGAATTATAACGCGCATTCCCTGTTTGGATAGCCTTTCCCGGGACTTATTGGGTCCGACTCAGAATCTGTATAAGTGCATTCGACAATATAAGCTAGTGCGGCCTCTGTATTTAGAATTTATCTATTGCCACGCGAAACGGTAGTGACCTTTGACCCAGAAACTCCGGGCGTGTTTTGTGCGGTAACCTTATACCCCGCGATAGTTAGTGGCTTCTGTAAGCTAGTTAATAGTACGATAGAGTTAAGTGACTAGCATCGTGGTGAACCAAGAAAGTGACTGTGGATAACCTCGAAAGGCCCCCTCAAGTTGGAGCGGTGTCGACGCTCGGGCTGCTGCCGACGGCTAAGGTCTAGGTTCAATCACCATCAGTCACACCCAGATACACACCACATCACCATTCTTTCCCTTGCACTACACAACCACATGCGACCTGACCGACTCCGGAGGAACCAGTCGCCTTGGATAGAGGTAAGTGAACTCCGCCAAATTCCTTCCGGTCGACTGGCCGTAGTATAACGCTCCCCCATATATTTAGTGTAATTAGAGAACTTCCACGTGGCCTTAGGAGGCCCGACCTACGTTTGCTCGGGAAGTCTTCTGCTGATGGGCCCCGGGGGATTGGATCCTTTAAGGGAGCAACCGTAGGCCGTAACAAACTGGTAGCAGAGCGCGATTCCGGGTTCGATTCCCGGTCGATCCCGACTATAGTGTTTGATAAACATTAAACAATTTTGGTGGCAGGGAGCGTTGGTGTGATTGGTTTAATTTGCATCTACAATCACGCCCGTCCGTAATACGTAAAAATATTTTTTTTGTACGTAATAATAGAATTATTTTCCTTTGTTGCTTTGTTGCTTGCCTTTTTTTTGGTTAGAGGGTAATTTGAAAAGCCGCGCCCTAGGTTGTGCAAGCGGGAGATTTTCTAGAGATATACGTCATGTAGGTAGATGGTTATTTTTACGTAATCGGTTAATTATCGTTGTCGGAGAGTTGTAGTGGATTACTTATCGAAGGTTCGATTTCCGAGCTAGGCATTTTTTGTTGATCGACCGTGATGTGTATCTTCGTTTATACTGTAAGTTGTATTTGAACTAAATAGTAGTAATTTGTATTTGCGCAATTTGAATTTAACTTGATTCGATCGCACTAGTATTTGTTATTTGTTAATTTGATTTGTGTCTTTTTTGTGCTAACTTGTATTTGGTTGATACGTAGCAATTCGTATTTGTGTAATTTCTATTCAACGCGATTTGATAGGAACTGCATTTATTAACTGTTAATTTTTTGTTGTATTTTTTATTTGTTATCTTTGTAAACTGTGCTCAAGCCGCGTCGTAATTTGCATTTAATAGTGATGACATCGCCCAAGCTACTTATCCGTTGTTTGCGGACTGAGCTACGCTGGGCCACAAGCGCCCATGCTTTGATAGGTCGACCGGATAGGGTCCATAACTTGATGAAGCAGTTCGAGCAGGTGGATGCTCGAAGGGCCGCAGTGGAGGAGGCTTACGCTGAACTCGAGGATTCGGATGTGGAGAAGGGAGTCCTGGACTCCTGCTTTGCGGACTATGAGCAGTTCTTGTGGCTCACGGACGAGTTGATCGAGGCTGAAGGCAGGTATGCCGAGGAGGCGCGTGAAGCTCGGATGAGTAACCTGCCCGAGTCCTCTCTGAAGCAGCTTCAGCCGGAGCTGTTGGGACGACTCCCAACTCTGGACCTGCCAAAGTTCTCCGGGGTCTTTTCCGAATGGCTGACCTTCGTTGGTCTTTTCGACAGCCTAGTGGACGCCCGGAGTGACTTGACCCCGAGACAAAAGATGGCGTACCTCCTGGCCTCACTGGAGGGGGAGGCCCTGGGCGTCGTCGGCCACTTGAAATTGTCGGACGACGCCTACCAGACTGCTCGGGACCTCCTAGCCAGAAGATACGCCAACGTCCGGCGAATTGCAGACGAGCATGTTAAGCAGCTTCTAAGCCTCCCGCTGCTTAGTGACCGGGCCAGACTGCGTCCGGACCTGTTGGATCCAGTCTTGGTGGCCTGTAATACGTTGAGGCGGCTGGGTTTACCAGTGGGCGAATGGGCCTTTTTGTTGTTCCGCATAGTGCTGTCCCGTCTACCTCTCGACCTTCGAATCCATTTTGAGGAGAGGTACGGCGGGGACGAGGCCTCCTATATTCCGCCCTTCTATGACCTGCTGCGGTTTTTAGAGGAGCAGTGCCGGCAGATCGAGAACGCGGCGGGCACCGTTGACGACTTACGAGACGTGCCCAGTGAGAGGCTGAACCCGCCAGGCAAGTCGTCGTCAACCTCCCCCTGCTCCTATTGTCGAGCATCTGATCACCGGGTAACGTTGTGCCCGAAATTATTAGGTAAGCCGGTTCCTGCGAGGCGAACTATCGCCAAGGAGCGCCGCTGGTGCTGGTCATGTCTGGGAGGGCACCTCCAGCGAGACTGTCCGCATCGACGGCCCTGTCTGCATTGCCAGGGCAATCACCATGCCGTTTTGTGCCTGGGTGCGAACGGCGTCTCCTCTCGGGGCTCTGCCAGGCCCTCGACCCCCACGGGCGGGGGCGCTCAGCCACGCCCTCTGCTGGGCGACAATCGGCGCTCGCCGGCCAGCCACCAGGCCCCTAAGTTTGAAAGGGGCCCCTCCCCCAAGCAGTTGGGGGGTAATTCCCCCAGGGGCGGGGGTGTCATCACCCCCCCTCAGCGTGTGGAGAGGAACTTCACGGCCACTCATCGGTCCGCTGGACCCTTCTCACTTCCGTTAGCTGAGTGGCCGCGACTGGTGTACCACTGTTCCCCATTTGATGGAGGCGGCCCTGTCTAGCTGCTGCCTAGTTCCCACCACGGCCGCCTCCACTGAGCCTTAAGCCGTCAACAGTCCACTTGTCAAAATGTTCTGTTGCCGACGGCCTCAGTGAAGGCGTACAACCCGAGTGGCAACTGTTAAAGGTTGTGCTCTATTTATCTCGGGTTCACGCCATGTGGCCTCCCCTTAGTGGTGGGAAGATTAGGGCCCCCTCTGGAGCGTTGAATCACGTTGTCAAGGGGTATTAGATTTGGTTTGGTCGAGCACTTAGTCAAAAAATACTTGAATTAAAATTAAAAATTGCTTTGGGCTTTCCGCGAAATTTTCCTATTTG